AGAGAGAGAGAGAGAGAGAGAGAGAGAGAGAGAGAAAGAGAGAGAGAGAGAGAGAGAGCAGCGATAAAACTAAAGAATGAAGGTAGAAGGGATAATTCGGGATTGTGCTCATGTTGATTCTGTCTTCTCTACATTGACGAGATTTTTTTCCACCGCCAGACAGGGAAGGAAATGGAAGATTAGATTAGCTTTGGTGTGTACACAAGTAACAAAAGTGGAGCAAGGAAAGAAAGAAGGAAGGGTATTACAACAACAACAACAACAACAACAACAACAACAACAACAACAACAACAACAACAAAAAATATCAGAGAAGGACGGAAGGAAGGAAGGAAGAAAGGAAGGAAAGACACTATGCGATTGTGATGTTGATTACATTCTCTACATAACAGCACAGTTATCTTTTATCTGTAACGCACATGCTTAAAAAAAAAAAGAAAATGAGAAGAAAAGAAAAGGATGACAGGCTCGTACGTAGTAACAACATTTTGTCCTTGTATACAGGGGTCTACATTGTTGGCCAAGCAACAGAAAGTATACCACGTGTTAGTAGTGTTACTGAAAGTTTGGTTTACATCTTGTTAATCATGAGCACACCCCACATTTGCGCGTGACAAGGTATGATTTGACTTGACGGTTTTTATGAATATGCCCTACGAATCCTGTTTTGAAAATTTGCTGAGCCGTATTAGTATTAGAAATGATGTTGAGCGAATGGGTATGAATGCACGACTTGACCCAGTATCGTATTATTGTATAGCCACTTGTATTTTCCCTAAACTGAGTTCAGAGTTCAGAAAATTCAAGACTTCTTTCAATCTGTCATCTGTCATCATTGGGCTCACACAAACATCGACACAAATCTTCAACCAATCAATTACTCAAGAACGAAACACGTCACAAGGTGGCGACGAAGATCGAAGCGTTTAACACGACATGCAAATTACGCCCACAAACGTTAGCAAAGGAGCCAAGGCGTTCACGACCAATCAGTACAAGTTGAAGGACAAGGAGACAGCGATACACACAGCAGCCAGACAGACCACGTAGATGGTAAACAGCAGACTGTGTCGACAATCTCCGTGGACGTTGCCATCTTTCTCCGCTATCTGCAAGTCTTTGCTGACTGTCTCGATGGCGTAGGAATCGGAAGATTCTGGGTGACCAGAAAGAAGACCAGCAAGTTTAATTTATTGTGTGGTTTGGATTGGGTAAAAGGGAAAGATCAGGGAAACGTAGCGTTTTTGAGAGCATCCGATCAAAGGAATGAATGGAGAACCATTATCGCCGATGTCTGTCGCAGATTTGACACTGGATGATGATAGCTTAGATACTGTAAAGTTGTTTGAGTGACGGGGCCTCCAAATACAACGTGTATCTCCGAGGATAAGACCACACGCTTAGAGTCTTGAGATCTCCCCCAAATCAAACCAGGGTCACACGCACCATACTTAAACATGACTCCAGCTGAGCTATCAGCGGCGCCCTTTAGCCTTAAATCAAAATGGTTAGGCTTATGATTTGATTTTGACCCTGTCAAGCCTGATGTCCGATTTTACCCATTTCACTGCTCACCCATAAACAAACCCCAAAAACAAAATCAAAATTCGAAAATCTCGAAGCAAACAAACAAGCAAACAAACAAAAAAACAAAACAACAACAACAAAAACCCCCCCAAAAAACAACAACCAAGAACATTCTAAAACGAACAACTTACACAGTGAAAGCAAAGGGACGCTGAAGTGTCTATGATATCAACTTGTAAGGAGCTTTCCGGAGCTTTAAACCCTTCAATGATCAAGGAAGTATAATGCATTTTATCAAGAGTGGCAAACCCAAGATCATGGTTTGAGCCCATTCCTAAAGTCTTCCCACGCTCTAGTCTCCCAGTTTCAAAAAGCATGACTGCAACCGTTTTTACGCCTCTGCTGACATACTTTTGGTAAATTGAAAAGAGACCTGATCAACACCAACCTGGGTTAGGCGGGACAGGGCATCCCAGCAGAAAGAGGAAGAAAATCGATTAACATTTTTCCCCCCCATTTGACAATCAAACTTCTCTCTTTATAATTATAGACGCGGAATGCTTAACCATTGCCCCACAGTTTCAGTAACAAAACAAAACCAAATTTAAAAAATAATTTAAAAACCCACAATAAATTAAAACATTACACAACTAAAACAAACAAACAAACTAACAAACAAGAAGAAGAAGAAGAAGAA